CTTTCTCAGAGGAATTCATCTCTATTCCTGGTATTTCGGATTAGATGAGAAACGAAAACCGTACAGAGGTTGATCATGCATGTGTTGAAAGTTACGTTTCCAGTTTTCAGACAGCAATTATAAAGAACGAAGAGTCCAAAGACCGTATGAGACTCAAGCTGCTCTTCTGTTACTCAAACCCAATCACTGTCAGAACATCTGCTGATTTCTCCAGTTTCCTTCCTCACATGTGAATCTCATTTTCTATTTATTGTATGTTCTCATCATCAATATACTGTTTTGTTAACTTTGTCCTTTTCTGAACATATTCTTGCAAGTGGTATTTGACAACGTCTGGATACCGATGTAACGGACAATTATAGGTATATTATACTCGAAAACTCAACATAAGATGCTTTTCAGATGATAAATAGGGGTTCATTATGACATAGATGAATGAATATTACATATATAAAGATGAGAATGAGGATCTAAGATACATTTAAGAAAGAATAAGGAAGCGTAACTGCAAGATTACATTAACATAAGATAGAGATATTTAATAAGCATAACTAGAAAAGTACATGTGTAGAGTACAGTAATCTCAGAAAGCGTAGTCATCCTTGAGCTTTGTCCAGCCTCTGCTGAACTCTGATGGACAAGCTTCAGAACCTTCAGTTATTTTTTATAACAAAGATAGGATGTTACAATGTGTTAGTTCAAATGCGGTATAATCATATGTCGAAATTATAGACTTGTCTCCCAGATGAACAAAGACATGCTAATCAGTATCACTAGGAGATCCCGATTCAGAATGAACCGGACATATGTTATTAAAACAATTTTTAAGACTCTTTTTCACATGGTCAAGAGCTACCATTTCTTCTGCATTAGCAGCCTGACCTACAAAATGAATGAACTCTAATAAATGAATTCTATATGAAGAATAGAAAAAAAAACCTGCAAGCGTCGAATCAGCTGAAACGCTTGTGGCTTCCACTAGTTTCTTCAATCTCCTCAAGATCGCACCTCACGACAAGTCCGAAAAAAACTATCATTTATATAATAGTTCTGGGTGAAGATAAGAAAGAAGAATCATACCTCATCTACATATGTCTGGTTCACATGTTGACCGACATCCCTCACTGAACAAAAAATTTTTCTAATAATAATGAAAAGCTTCGGATTTTTCTTAATCGCGAAATCATCTGAGAAATGCTTTGAAACAGAAAATGAAAAACTAATTCGTACCTGTGGGAACTCTCAAGCAGCCTCAATTTCCTGTATGCCATCCAGAAGGACTGCCGATATCCCATATATAATGGATATAATAAGTTCCAATGTCCTGAATGGAGGAAGAATTTGAAAATATTTGAAAAATGGATGCTTATGAGTGAGCAGAGCCAAAATTAAAATGCAAAAAGTTTCTCACGCGTTTCTTTCCCGCACTGAATCTTCAATACGCTGGTAAATACGTGAAATGACCTGAGCCTCATTCTAGAACATATTTCCATGAAAAACAATTTATTAAAACTTTGGAGAATCATAATAAGACAGTATAAGACTCACTGAAACGAAAATATGTACCATATTCACACTTGAAGACACGAAATACCAAAATTTGTAAAAATATTCTATTACTCAGGTATCACGAATCACTAACATCAAAGTTTATAAAATCTCTAAAATCAACTATTTATAGTTTGCTAAGTGGCGCTCATAATAATGGCGGCAAACGTTTCTGTCTGTCACGAACTAATTCCTATTTCGCTCTGTTGCAGCAAGAAATGCTCAGCTATCCTTTAGGGAGAACGTCAATCATCCAGTCTGAACTTCTATCTGGATTCAGGCGAATGTGCTGACACTTGTGAACGTCCACCTCGAGAGCTAACACGTTTGTCTATTTCCTCTTGACTGTGATAACCATTACTCATAATTATTGCAGGTGATTGCACTCCGACAATACGAAATACTAAAAATGTATTTCCTTCAGATATAACATAACTTACAAACTCACAACTTCATGCAAGCAGAGCGACCAGAATTGAAGCTGGCAGTAAGGAGAAGTAAAATGACGATGTAAGATTAGTATTTTTTTCAGAACAAGAGCGCTCTGATAGAAAAATGTGTTGCACTTATGGAAGATGGTGTTGAAAACAATAATAGGTAGAAAGATAATTGAAAACTGCTGTTAATTCAATGAAATTTTTTTATTTCAAACGATTTTCAAATTTTTAATTGAGGGGTAAGTACCCCGAACAAGTATTAAATTCAGTCAGTATCGCTTAGAAGTCCCAGTGCTTTAATATCCTCTTCGTTGGCAGCCGGACTTTTTAAATAAATAAACACAAAAAAATAAATTCTATATTAAGAATTTGAAAAATACCCAAATGGGTCATCTCTCGCGGAGCCAACACTTGAATTTTATATCATACATGTTCCGGAGTGACACTTTTACTTCTCTTATTTCCTCGTCGTTTGCTGCATCCTTTATAAAATGAAAAAAAACTCAAAAAAACAAACTTTATGTGAAGAATTAAAAATATGCCAATGTGTGTCATCTCTGACAAGAGGCATGCTCCATCGATATACTGCACAAGTCTTCTAAAAACATCAGCAAAGGATGAATCCTAAAAAAGTTATCGTGCGTTGAGTGAAAAATAAAAAAATATACCTCATCTATGTGGAACTCGTCCGGAAAAAAGGCGAGCGGTCTGACTATACAAAAAATATTCTTAATATCTGTTAAAAAAAATTAATTCGTACCTGCGGGGTGGCTTAAGGCGTTCCTTATCTCCTCTAAACCATCTAATAATATAGCTGAGATATTATATCTTTCAGGTATACTTAACTCCATTGTACTGAATGAATGAAAGTTTTGAAAAATCAAAAACAAAAAAATTTTCTTACGAGTTTGTTTCTAATCTTCTTTTTATGAAGGTTTGGCGCGTAGTCATCCTTGATCTGTGCCCAACTTCTACTCAACTCTGATGGACAAGCTTCAGAACCTTTAGTTATTCTTTATAACAAAGATAGGATGTTACAATGTGTTAGTTCAAATGCGGTATAATCATATGTCGAAATTATAGACTTGTCTCCCAGAGAGCTTTAAGACTTTTATGGTTCCATTAATAAAATGCACTATCGGTATAAACAGCATTAGAAAGAAATAATTTGGTATCAGGTGAAGAACATCGGAGAACTTCAGGATGAATCTGTTCGTACATGTTTCGAAGAAACACTTTCACTTGCTCAAGTGTATCGGTTTCGTCGTCGTTTGCAGCCGGACCTATAAAACAGAATAAATAGATGTCTATAATCCGAATAGTAAAAGTTGCGAACATTCATAAGCTCTGTCTAAAAGAACATAAAAAATACCTGAATGCGACAGATCTGCTAGTTTACATGCTGCGGTGACTTGCCTTCGGAGTCGATGATAGAACGAACTCCACGATGAACCCTCAAAAAAATTGTTATTCACACTTAAGTTCATTTCGTTTACACTCTCGCATTGAGTGATACAGTTTATCATTGTGGTATTATCTTAGTAAAAAAAATCACACCTTATTGACTTCCGGATTGCTGATGTCTCGATCGGGATGTCCTCGAACTAAAAAATAAATTTTTCTAATCTCTGTGAAAAGCTTCTGAAATTCTTCATCAGCAAAATAATGCTATGAAATGGAAAAATTAAAATGTTTTATTTTCAGATAGAGTTCAGAGAATGCTCGCAACTTTTACTACTTCGATTATAGACATCTATTTATTTTGTTTATCTGTACCTGTAGGACGACTCATCACTGTTTGAATTTTTTGAACTGTCTCTAGAAGTACAGCGTTGACACCTAAGATAGTAGGGCTATTCATGTTCATTATTCTAAATAGGTAGAAGGTTTCAGAGCTATACAATAAAAAAAATCAAGTATAAAGCCATTAATAGAAATCTAATAACTGAACAGCGTTAGAAAAATTGAAAAAATTCTTACGCGTCGCTTTTGCGTAGTAGATTAACGGTACGTTTGAACAAACTATAAATTGAATTAGCTTCATCCTGAAACATATTTGAAATAAAAACATCCAAAACTTGAAAGAATAATAGTTAGACTCACTGAAACGAACTTTGGCGCCATATTTGAAGAAACGAAATACCAAAATCTCTATAAAATATTCGATTAGGTAGCTATCACGAATCACAAACTTCAAAATTTGTAAAATCGCTCAATACAGTCTACAGGATGAGAAAAAGAAAGAAAGAGAAAAATACACGATGAAACGAGAGTAGGAATGAGTTTTTTAACGAACTAAGGAGAAAAGATTAGTGATGTGAGAAATACAGCAGAAAACAATGTCTCCTCTCTATTCGCGCAAGTTATTGATAGAATGTATGACGCTGGATGACCCCAAGCTCCTCTGCATCTCTGTTCACATGCACATCGCTCTATTGTAAATTAAGGAGGTAACTAACATCTAGAGACCGCTTACCGAGACTATCGCTTTCGCTAGATGTGAGTGAGGTGTTTTATATTGTGTGTGTATTGTGAGAAGAAAGAAAAGAAAATTGAGTAGGTGTAGGAAAAAAGAGACCATATTGCTTCCACTGCTGTTGTAGGCTGTCTTGAGAAGCTTGATGAAGTTCATTTGGGAGATTGTCGACACGTTGAATTCTCAATAGGATTCTACTTTGACCATCAAACGTCTGTGTATGCTGTTCTGTTGCAAGATATGTTCAGCTTTCCATTGGGGAGGATGCCAATCATCCAATCTGAACTTCTATCTGGATTCAGGCAAATGTGCTGACACTTGTGAACGTCCACC